TGGTACAGCAATAGCGCATTGAAAAGTAACTCGATGATTTGGCGAATAAAAAAGCGAAAATACAAATGTTTGCGAAGAAAAATCATTTGCGAACCAATTTGGCTGGCTCAAAAACATCACAACCGAGGGATTAGGATGGGTTTTAGGTGAGCCATCCGCAAAATCAAATGGGTTTGTGAAGGCGTGTATTTCGCTACTTCCACACAGCGTGGGTTATGTGGAACATAAGGTTGACGGAAACTCGTAGACTGTGCCCACATAATGAGGCTCAAGATGACGAAAACCGGCCATGGGATGTCGAAGAATTTTTGACAAGCTTATGAGTAGTGCATTCAAAAGTAGTACATTCAAAACAAATGTTTCATGACTAGGAAATTTTAGTATTTATGTTGCGTTTCAGCCCGTCCTGTGAACCGCATAAAGCGGAGCTATGGCAGTGAGTTTAAGCACGATCTATCTATTGGTGAGAAAATGTAGTTCTCTTCATTTTAAACCCGAGTGTGAGTACTTCATTGGAAATTCTGTACAAAAATTTACTATAGGTTTAGTCTATTGCAACTGCGGGATGTCAAATGCGAAAGGATTTCGTGTTACATAGAATAGACGGGTTATGACGCAGGTTGCTGAGTTGGCGATTATGGTTGTTGTAGTTGCGACCTCTTACCAAAAAAATTATAAAGTTAAAGGAATCGTAATTTGGTGATTTTGCGTTTTGTGGAAGTTCAGTTACTGTGCGTTTGTACGGGCACAGACTACAATACGCTTTTAACGGTGAATAACTGGCTATAGGCTGTTGAATTTCACGATCCGTTACGTCGATTTTCACAGTAAACATAACTCTCAATTTTGATGGCGTGCCTTGAATGCTCTATTTTCAACCAGCTCAGGCCGGATATTATGGTAAGAATCATGAAAATCTTTGATGAATTTGTTTTGGAGAACCAACTGGAATTGTTTCCGCTGATGTTCTGTGTAGCGTTGTAGGCCATGGACACTTTGACTTTCATGTCCAGAAAAACCATATGAATAAAAATCCTCAGACCTCGGATGGTAAAGGAACAAACCGCGGCGTGTTTTCGTGGATACACATCGTACTCCGCTGTAGTCATTTTTCTAAATTGTAATAATTATCACTGGAGTAAAATTAGGGTTGCACAAATGCCATCGCCCACATAAGTACCCAAATTTGAAGAAGCTAGCTATTTTTGGATTACAGTTAATTATGACAATGTGCAGGCCTCTGCGCATTGAGATAATTTACAGGGGCTAATTTCACCGACCATTTTGCATTCAGGCTTAGGTTTCCTTTACATGTGTGAGACCAAACGTGCTGTACACAGGCTACTGTGTTGGGATATCGCGGTATATTATTAAATATCGTGCCAAATAAAAAATTAGACGGCCTGTGCGCAGCACATTCAGCTAAAGAACATCATAAACAAGAATTCGGTTGAATCTCCCGTGAAAACCAGCCTGACTTGCAAGTGAGTGTATTGTTTGCAATCAGTCCAACTTGGGTTTAAGTAGATCATAAGGTTGACGCACACTCGGGGAATGCACACACCTGAGGAACGCCAAGAAGGGCGAAACCGGTCGTTGGCTGTCGAAGAGTTTTCAGCAAACTTATGAGTAGTTTCCTTTATGAGGATTGTTTTCATCTACCAGTTTAGAATAATACTGACATCAGAACTTACATCTAGAGCGCATGTTTTTGTTTACAGTTTTTCCGTTATAATACCAAACCTGACAAATGATGGAGACGACGAATATCTCATTTAACCAGCCGTTGGTCTTCTGAAAGAGCACATATTTTACCATGCTACAAGCTTGTTAGGTGGATACTTGTCGGGTTAAATTATATGCGGTCGGATGACAAAGACCTCAGCAGTGTACAGCTACTTATCATCAACATGACCACATAATCAAAAGTTACGGAGATTTGTTCATCGTTCTACTCCCTGCTGGCCGCACTATCAAGAAGTGGGAAGCCACTATTGAAAAGAGAGCTTAATTTCATTGGCCGGTTTTTCTTACATCCAAGTATGGGCAAATTTCCGTTTACATGAAAACTCATTTATGTACGCTCAGTTATTAACGTGTGTTTATTACGCTAAGTTAATCGGCTGAAGCATATTTCAGTGTGATATCAACATGGATCACATCATCGAGTTTGTGAAGGCCTTACTATAGAAAGCTGAAAAATTTCGGATTAATTCGGAGATACATTGAACAAATTCAGTATGAAACTTCTGGAAAATTAAAATCAAAGGTATAAAGAAACACAGTTGGTATTTATTGAGCTTCAAATAAGGATTTGTGAACTGACTATGAAACTGTACAGGTTCAGAATAAAAGTATTTAGGTGACATTTCATACTGCTTTTAGGCTTTCATTCAAAGGACCAGAATTTAACTACATACAATGACCCGTATAAATTACAGTGATGTGGAGAAGAACATTTTACAGCCTAACTCTTACATGCATTCATTTGTCTTTTGATTATGTAACGTTTGCAATATTGCTTGAATTCTTTCAGGCTACGGTCAACAACGATCGGGTATGTGGAGCTCATTTAACCCATTTGACTCATTTAAAACCCACACAACATCTACTTAGAACGCCGTGTTTTCGACCAGCAAAATCTTCCGTATCAAGTCTTTGAACTCCTTTCTAGTAGCCAATTGGTTCTAAATGTCGCAGACAATTTTGATATATTAGCTCGGACTTGGATGAGCAGGGGAATAGTGCGGAAGATTCAGTACGCAGTTTTTGTTTGGTAGCCATCGACAGTGACTGAGATTTAGATTTGTGCAAGCAAATTATTTTTATATGGCCGGCAACTTCGCATGTCATAAACGATTGCTCTAGAAGTACTGTCTGGTCAATTGAATGCACTTCATAAAAAAACTATGGTTATTGAAAAAGCGATTTCACATTATCATTTGAAAATCAGCTGTTCTACGAAAACCAGCATTTTGCATGTTGCAAAAAGTAAATTCACGCCAAACTGTACCAAATAGATTTGGTCGGAAATCACCGGTTGGCAGTAAACTGTAACGAAAAGTCATCCACACTTTTTAAACTTTTGACTGTTTACCGAGATTTGGGTGCATAAATAGTTGGAAAGTGGAAATAAAGACGGTCGGATGTGTTGGTAGTTAAGTAATTTACAAAAATGTAAAACATTTACTAAAGCAAGAAGAAACAAAGAGAATTACCAGTGGTGCTACAATTTTCCCTTCAAAAGACCACTGTTAAGAGCCGTCTGAAAGCGTCGTTGTCCTCAGATGGGTTTTTTATGGCCAACGAATTTGCCCATGAACTGAGAATCTGCCCACTTTCCTGTTGTAGATTTGTCAGCAAGGTTGAGCGCGTGCTCTTATTTATCCATTGTAAATGGACCGTTGTGCTGAATACGTTATCCATGCGCAAATTTGTTTTCTGCAAGTTACGATATACCAAGCAGTTCATCTCTATAAGGGTTTTATTTGTTAGGGACTAAGGTAAAACACAGGTATTCCGGTCATGTTCTCGTGAGCTGTGCAATATTAGTCAACCACATTGCTAATCCAAACTAATATCCGTCAGTTGTGATTTGGGGCATCTCCAACACTCCTGCTAAAACCCTGATAGGCAGAAAACAAAAAAAGGATTTTCGAGTGATTTGTGTTTTACTCAGCTAAAGTAAAATGTACGATCAGGGCACCCATACCTTCAAATATAAGCCTCGAGGGAAATTGTATAAACTGCGTACGCTTGGATGGAGGAATGTGTTTGGGCATCATTCATTTGACGTTTTTATTATATAAAGCATAATTTGGAAGAACGTATGTTAAATTATATCAAATAATTCTGAATTGTTGGAAGATGATAGTCGGAATGATGGCAAATGTTTTAACATCTGATACTAGTCTGTAAAGCCTGATAATTATTACGTTTGTCAGAACGATTATTTTGGAACTCTCCTTGTGAAACGCTTTATGCTTGCAACCATTGTTGCGTCTCCATTGATTGCGAAACGTTTCGGAAATTTTGGCTTATCTAAAGCGCACCGATGCGAGTGAGTGCCATGATGATGTTTGAACGAGCGTTAGCACAAAAGCTGTTGACCAGAGCTCTGAAAGTTGAGTTTTCTAAGAGAGAGCTGTTGCTTGCACATGATTTGCAGGCGCTCAATTTTATCGTAAAAGCTTGAGCTTGCCTTTGTACACTGTTTCCTCAAATGAATGTAAACTGCAAAAATTTTTGGGAGAAATTCGGGGCCCTTTGTGCGCTAAGTCAAACACTAGTCTACGTGTTAAGCAGAATTACTTCAGGCTGGTCTTTGACTCACTCGTTACGTGTGTTTGTTTTTGAGAATTTTTCTGCAAGCAACACGTGAGCGTCGACGAGGCTAAATGCGGAAATGTGATCTTGGAGACTGTCGTTCCTTGGGCTGTTTCCAACATAAACTTCAGTGTGAACGACCTTATGGACTGAATCTAATCTGTTTCCTAGGATCCAATATTGTCTGGATTCACTTGTAATTTGTCAGGAGGCAGACATATACAGTGTTCAATAGATTGGTTGAGAAAGCAGTCCGAGGTATTCTGTGATCTCCTGGAGGTCGTCGGTAGCGTAGTGTATGCTCTGCAACACAGTTATCTACTGGAATTTTCCAACGATCAGCTCAACGTTTATCTGGCATATCATGTGTATTAGCTTCAGACAAAATGCGACCAAAAGCCACACTGATTTTAGTGAAGCAGTACGGTTGTTCTTGATATCTTATTCGTCATAAAATAAGAGGTAGTTCAAAGGTGATATATAGGCTTTCTAGAGTTAGTTTTTGGGTATGTCAGCTAACGTAACAAGTCTATAATGTTTGTGTTTGACTTAAAATCAGCAACTAATCTCAGCTTTTGTGCTTTCTGATAGCTATTGCGCCTTGTAACACAATCTATCGGTTCATTGCCCAAAAAGTGTCGTACAAAGTCATGAAACAATTCGTTTGTTATTAGTACTGGAACCCTTGTTGCGAGTACCGCTACGGAGACGATACTGGCTGCGATAGGGCGAGACGGCCGCGGATTAATGACCGGAAGGTCCGTGGTTTAAACTCTACCTCTATCTCTCGACTTTCGCTGTCTAGGCGTGGGCAACCTGGCAGTATCCCAGCACCCGTGCAAGCTTCGGATGGCATGGAAGTTAGGCATCGAAATGGTGTTGCGGCTGAACGTTTATCTATCTGTCGATCTATCTATCTATCTATCTATCTATCTATCTATCT